AAGTCCCTACCTTCCCCCCTCACCCTAAAAAATAGTGAGGGGGGATAAAATAACTAACCTGTAAAATAAAATTAAACTTACCATTCGACGTCTTCTTTTTTCTCAAATCTTCATTTTTCAGTCCCCAAAAAGGCCAAATAAAAACCATCATAACTGTCGAACTTAAAATAAAATAAAAATCCTGAGAGCCAAAAAAAAAAAAAACCTGACGAAAAAGAAAAAAAACGGAGCGCAAAAAAATAATCCATCTTCACCCATGGAGGGCTCCGCGCAGACTGAGCTCCGCAGAGCGGGGGAAGGCTTATAAAGCCTTGCCCTGCCCTGCAATTAGGCTAAGAACACTCTGATTGGTGGGTTTAAAAAAAGAAGCCAAAAAAGAAGACGTCGAATGGTAAGTTTAATTTTATTTTACAGGTTAGTTATTTTAATCCCCCCTCACTATTTTTTAGGGTGAGGGGGGTAGGTAGGGACTTGTTTTTTTTTGGGTGGGGGGTGGGTGACTAGGGGCTTGGGGACCCCTAGTCACCTTGGGGGGGGTTAATTGACTTAGGGCCCCCACCCGCCGCCCAGGGGTGGGGGCCGGGGGGGGGGAGGACAGTAGGTCCCCCCCCTCATTATCTTCATGGCCCCCACCCGCCGCCCAGGGGTGGGGGCCAGGGGGGGATAGTAGGTCCCCCCCATTCTCATTATGGCCCCCACCAGCCGCCCAGGGGTGGGGGCCGGGGGGGGGCAGTAGGTCCCCCCCCATTCTCATTATGGCCCCCACCCGCCGCCCAGGGGTGGGGGCCGGGGGGGGGCAGTAGGTCCCCCCTCATTCTCACTATGGCCCCCACCATAGGGTAGACAGGGGCAGGCCCCTATTTCCATTATGGCCCCACCACCAGAGGGGGGCCGGGGCAGTAGTCCCCCCTCATTCTCACTATGGCCCCCACCCGCCAGCCTTGTAGGCCGGGGCAGTAGTCCCCCCCATTCTCCTTATGGCCCCCACCCGCCGCCCAGGGGTGGGGGCCGGGGGGGGCAGTAGGTCCCCCCCCATTCTCCTTATGGCCCCCACCCGCCGCCCAGGGGTGGGGGCCGGGGGGGGAGGACAGTAGGTCCCCCCCCCCTCATTATCTTCATGGCCCCCACCCGCCGCCCAGGTCTTGGACGTTTCTAGTGGTTTGCTAGTCATCTGTGTGGTTATCCCATGGTTCCCACACCTTTGTGAAAGCTTTCATAGTGCCTCATATTTGGGCCGTCAATTTGTCCATGAGGTGACACTCTTTGATCTTGTTGAGTACTGCGGTCATTGGGGGGGGGTTTGGTTGCAACCATGTTTGGGCTAGGGCTTTTCTAGCTGCTAATGTTATCTTGTTAAGCAATTGTTCTGGTCTGGGTAGATCGTCGAGGGGTCTGGCCAGCAGGAATGTCCATGGGTTTGTGTCTATCGGTCTATGTAAGATTTGCGCTATTAGCTTCTGGATGTTTTCCCAGAAAAGTTTAATTTTTATGGGGCAGTACCACCACATATGTGCGTATGTCCCTTTTTCTCCGCAGTTACGCCAACAGAGGTCCGTGGGTATTTTTTTCATGTGGTATAGTTGGACCGGCGTGACGTACCAGCGTAGCATCGTTTTATATGCCTGTTCCTGCATCGTGACACATATGGAGGTTCTGGAATTGGCTTCCCATATTTCCTGCCAGTCTATTCCCTCTAGTGTTTCCCCTAAGTCTGCTTCCCATTTGTCTGTGTATTGCAGGTCTCCCCAGTCCCGTGTGGTGAAACAGAGGTGGGAGTAGAGCTGGGTGATCATGCCCTTATGGTATTGTTCCGCTAGGCAGATGCACTCAAAGAAGGTCGGAGTGGCTTTGGCGGCGGTTTTTACCGTCGTTTGGGCCGCGTAGTGTTTTAGTTGCAAATACCGAAAAAAGTCGGCTGGTTTCAGGGTTGCTCTAGATTGTAGGTCTGGAAAGGAGACTATTGTGTCGCCCATGTATAGGTGGCACGCTCTCTGGAGACCAGCGTGCTCTAGCCCTTTGAAGTCCCAGGATCCCATACTTGGTGTGAAAGCCTTGTTTCGGTATATGGGGGTGAGGGGGGAGGTCTTAGTGGTTAGGTCGTATTTGAGGGCATAAGTATCCCATAATTGGATTGAGTTGGTGATGGCTGGGCACGCCGTTCTCGGTAGTGCTCTATGCTCTTTTGGTGTCCAGATGTAGAATTGTGGGAGGTCTGATCCCATTAATGCTGATTCTAGATCTACCCACCTTCTAGTTTCTGGGGGCGTATGCCATAGGGCTATTTGTGCCATCTGCGCGGCTATGTAGTAGAAGTGTAGGTGGGGTAGACCCAGGCCTCCTCTCGTTCTGGGGCGGTATAGTATGTTGCGGGCTACTCTGTGCCTTTTATCCTGCCAAATAAATCTGTCTATCGCCCGCTGCAGGGGGATGAGATTGTGTTTTGTGATAGGGATGGGTATGGCCTGAAAGAGGAACAGAATTCGAGGCAGGATGTTCATCTTGATGGAGTGTATTCTCCCTATCCAGGATATGGGTTTGTCCGCCCAGGTCTCCAAGTCCGAAATGAGTTTGTCTATCATGGGTGTGTAGTTCAGCCTGTGGAGCTCGTCTGTGTCTGCCGGTAACTTGATACCCAGGTATGTGAGGGAGGTTGGGGTGACTCGTATGTGGTAATCTGAGGTTATTTTATTTGTGTCTGTCTGTGTGAGGTGTATTGGGAGTGCGCTGGATTTTCCTACATTAACTTTGTATCCTGAGATCTCACCGTATTTGGTCAGGAGTGGGAGCAATACCTGTAGCGTGGAGATGGGTTCCGTTAAAGTCAGCAAGACGTCATCTGCATATCCTGAGACTAGAAATTCTTGGTCATCTATTTTGACCCCTTTGATTTGTGGGTGTTCCCTTATGGCTTGGAGGAGTGGTTCCAGTGTCAGCACAAAGAGTAAGGGGGATAGGCGGCATCCCTGACGGGTACCGTTGGATATATTAAATAGTGGGCTATTTGTCCCGGTTATCTTTATTTGTGCCGAAACGGAAGTGTATAGTGCGCGAATAGCTGTTATATATGGGGGGGGTATGTTTAGATGTTCTAGGAGGGTGAACATGTAGGGCCATTTCACGCGGTCAAATGCTTTCTCAGCATCCAGGGAAAGTGCTAGGGATGACGTTTTTTTGTTGGCTAGCAGCCATATTATATCTATGTTACGTCTCGTATTTTCGAATAGTTGTCGTCCGGGTATGAATCCTACTTGGTCGGCGTGAACTAGGTTTGTCAGGTATGGGTTTAGTCTTCCTGCTAAGATTTTGGCGAAGATTTTGCTGTCGTGGTTTATGAGTGAGATAGGTCGACATGCTTCTGGTTGGGTGTGGTCTTTACCTGGCTTTGGTAGCAAAATAATGTTTGCCCGTGTCATGTCCCTGTCTGGTGGGGTTCCCGTCATAAGTTCTTGGAATAAGGGTTCTAAGTGTGGGATGAGTGTTTCTCTAAAGGTTTTGTAGTAGCTGCCTTCGAAACCGTCTGGGCCGGGGGCTTTATTGCTTTTAAGAGAGGAGATAGCTATGTTGATTTCATCTTTGGAGATTGGTGCTGCTAATTCCGTTGTGGCTGCAGTGTGTAGTTTTGGTATGTTTAGTTGGTTGAGGAAGTCGGTTGTTTTCTGTTTCGTCGCTGTGATTGACATGTCGTCTTGGGGGGAATGGTTGTATAGTGTTGAATAAAAGGTTGAGAAAGCTTGTGCTATTTCTGTTGGGGATGTTTTCAGTGAGCCGTCTGGGGCTCTTATCTTGGTGATGTGTGGGTGTTGGGTTCTGGGTCGTAGTGTGCGGGCTAATAGTGTGTCCATTTTGTTGGATTTGTCATAGTATGTTCTTTTCGTCCAAGTGAGAGCTCGTGCCGTGTCGTCTATAAGCAGTTGTCTGAGATTGTAGCGGGCGGTTTGGAGGCGTTGTAACGTATGGGGGGTCGGGTCGGTTTTGTGGCATTGCTCCGCTGTGCGGAGGGTTTCTAACAGTTGGGTAAGTTTCTGCGTTTTTTGTTTCTTTTTGTAGGTTGCTATTTTGATAAGGGAGCCACTAATCACTGCTTTATGGGCCGCCCATACTTTGGTCATGGGGAGTTCTGGTGTTAGGTTTTCTGCGAAGTATGTGGTTAGCTGTTTCTGTATGTCCTCTACTACTTGGGGGTCTTTAAGGAGGGATGTGTTTAGCCTCCACGTCCATGGGGTAGGGCACTGGATGCCTTGGAGATGGATCGCGACGTCCGCATGGTCTGACCATGCGATGGTTCCTATCTCCGTTTTTTGTGTTTTTGTGTAGCCTGCGTGATTAGTTAAGAACATGTCTATGCGTGAGTATGTGTCATGGGGTGGCGAGTAGTACGTGTAGTCCTTAACAGAGGGGTGTTGAGCCCTCCATGCGTCTATGAGGCCTGTCTTGCGGATAAAGTGGTGTAATAGCTTGTCTTGTGCGCCCATGCCATGAGACCTAATTAGTCCTGGGTGTGTGCTTCTATCTATTGCTGGAGCTGGGGTTGCGTTCAGGTCTCCCCCCAGGAGGATTATCCCGGAGGGGAGCGCAAGGACTACGTCTGACATCTGGTTCCAGAATTGGGGTGTAGGTGTGTTGGGGGCATAGATGTTGAGTAAGTGGATTGGTTGGGAATGAATCCTGCCTGTGACTAGGACATATCTACCGTCTGGGTCTAACGTCACTTGGGCTATGTGAATTGGGCATCGTTTATGTGTAAGTATCGCCACTCCGTTCTGTTTGCGGAAGGATCGAGCCTCTGCGGCTAAGCGGTATGTGTTGTCTCGGAGGGAGACCTGAGCGGATCGAGACAGGTGAGTCTCCTGTATGAAGGCTATGTCGGGGTTTATCCTTTTTAGCTCCTTGAACAGTGTTCTTCTCTTGCGAGGAGCATTGAGGCCTTTAACATTGAGCGAGGATACCTTAAGAGCCATAATCTAGAGGTTTCGGTGAGCGTTTTTTGTCCTTCTGGACGGTCGGGTGGCTGTGGTGGTTCATTGCGGCTTGAGTGGTGTGTTTGTGCAGCGGGGTATGGGGTCGACTCCCACCTCTGTTCCTTTGTGTCGCTGAGTGGGTGTGTGGTTGGGGGTGTAAACGTTGCGCCTCTATCTTCGTCCAAGACCTATGAGGGCCTGGGGTAGGTGGGGAGCGTAGGGGAGGCAGGTGGGTGGGGGAGGGTAAGGGTCTAAGGAGTTTTGGAAAGGATGTGATACGGCGTTGCCGTATTTGTCTGGTCTTATTCTGTGCCAGACCGTTGGGGGGTGCATGTACCCTGGTCTCCCCCGTGACTGCGTCAGTCTGGGAGTGTTGGGTCATGAACCTATTTTCCGGTGTGGTCCCCTGTTGCCATATGTCATTTGTCTGTTGCAACTTTAGTGTGCAGCGTACAAGTTGATGGTCTATTGGGCGATTCGACTTCCCTGCCCCTGGTTCTTGGGGTTTGTGTTGCTTTAGTGCTTTAGTGGAGCCGGGAGCTCTTGGGAGTAGCCGCTTAGCGGTGTTTTCCACGAAATGGGGGGGGGGGGAATTATGGGCAGTTGTAACCCGTTTAGGTAGCTTTTCCTGGTCTACGATGGTTCTCCTGTTTGTAGGCACCATTGTGCCGGGGTAAGTTTTTATTTCTATATCATATAATTTTTTTTTGTTGTTGTTTTTTTATTTTTTTTATTTTATTTAATCCCTTTTGCTGCTTTTCAGGTGTGTCCCCTGTCATTAGGGTGCGGGGAGGGGAGGGACCGGTTGCTAGAGACGGTCACCAGTCTATTGAGTGGGTGACCGTACGGGGGGAGGAGGAGGGGGGACGCGGGGAGAGAGGGGCCGGCCCGGGCGGCCGCGCAGGAGGACACATAGCAATACATATCAATGCAAGTCCGAGACACTACAACACAGTTACATCCACCACCTTTGCTATTATATCACCCACTTTAGATGGTCCCTGTGCCCCCCAGTGCCAGTGCCCCGCACCCCGCCCCCCGCCCCCCAGCCCAGCCCGCCACGCCCCACCACGGCCCGTGAACCCATGTCATCTGTGTGTGTGCTTTCTCTACGCGTGGTGTGGTCCCTGTCTTGAAGCTTGGTCTCTGTGTAGTGTGGTTGTGTAGCGAATTGGTGTCTAGAGCAGTGAGTTGTATTTGCGTGGTGTGTGTGCCCTGGGTGACTGTTATGTGACTTTACATGAGTGTCCCATAAATGCTTTACTTTCCCCTCTAGTGTCTAAGTTGCGGTATCTTTGAACTGGTACTTGCTGTGATATCAAGAAGCTAGCAATAGTCTCTGGACAAGTCCATAGTGTGGGTTATCTTCGATGCTGTTGGCGGGGAGGATGCCGTGTGTGCCGCGGAGGTCCTTGGTGCTCCTGAGTCATGTGTTGGTTGTGGTCAAGGGGAAGAGTCCGTTGAGCTGTGTATGCAGCAGGGGTAATTTCGGAGCAGGAGTCCATCGTAGTGAGGGGCACCTTCACCGGGCGTTGCCGTTTCAGTCCGCTCAGTAGTTCTGTTGTCTGGAGTTCTGTTTCTGGTGGGTGCTGAGGGTGGGTAGGGCGTCATGGTGTTGCTGGCTGAGGCCCGGTGAACTAGTTCCAGGGAGGTTGGGTCTGCCTTGGGTGTGGGTGGCCGTCTGCCGGCTGTTTACTCCTCGGCGGTGTACCAATCGCACGGTAGGGGTTGCAGGGCCGGGAGAGCAGAGTTGGGCAGCGTGAAGTTCTCTGGAATTGTGATGCCCAATGCGCGGAGGAAGGGTATGGGGTCCGTGCCTGGCGTGAGAATATGGGATCTGCCCTGCTTAAAGACCAGTAATTTAAAGGGATGCCCCCAGGCGTACCTTATTGCGTTGGTCTTGAGTAGCTCTGTGACTGGCTTCCACTCCCTTCTGCGTTGGAGGGTGATGGGGGCCAAGTCTTGGAACAGGGAGATTTCAACGTTCTTGTACTTTATGGGGCTTTCTCTAGCTTTCCTCAGGACCGCTTCCTTTGTCTGGAAGTGGAGAAAACGGACTATAATGTCCCTGGGTCTTGTGTTGTCGTCTCTCCGGGCGCGTAAGGCCCTGTGGGCCCGATCGATGTGCCACTGCTCCTCCGGTATCTCTGGTGAGAGAGGGCGTAGGAGTGCGAGGAGCATGGGGGCGATTGGGCCTTTGTCCTGTTGCTCTGGTAGGCCGCGCACGCGGATGTTATTGCGGCGCGACCTATTTGCCAGGTCTTCGAGCGCTGCCTCCGAGGCCTCCAGTCTGGCGGTGAGGGTGTTAAAATGCGCGGCCACCATGTTGTGGGCCACTGCGGTCGTTTCCACGCGCTGCTCTAGGTCGGCCGTACGCTCCCCCAGCTTGTGAATTTCCGACATCACTACCTTAGAGCTCCGGTCAATCTCCCGGGCGAGGTAGCTTTTCACCGCCGCCAGCTCAGTCAGTATGTGGGCAGTTTCTGATGCGGTGGAGCCTTGGGTCTGAGGAGGGCTCGAGTTTGCTGGTGAGCTAGGGGCTAGCGGGCTGTATCCGCCGCCATCTTGTGTGTCCTGGCGCGGCGTGCGGGAGGCCGCGAAAAAAGTTCAGGTACTGTGGCGGCCGTGTCTGCGTGTTTTTTGGCCGGTTTTCTCGGCAGACGCTTGTCCATGGTGGATTAGGAGTCGGGATGGGTAGGTTTTCCGTGTTTTTTTGCGATTGTAAGCGTTTGGAACAGGCGCTCCTACCCGATCGGCGAAAAGCGGCAAATAACAGCGACTAAAACTGCAGACACAAACCACCAACCCACTCCCATCGAACACGGATAAGCTACCCCATCCGATGGCGGCGAAAAACAAACCGAAAATGGACAAGGCGGCATTTTTTGCACAAAAAACTTCCAAGCAAAAGAAACCACCGGAAAGGGAACAAGATGGCGCCGATGAAGGAGTGGAGGTGCAGACATCAGACACAGAGAATGAAACCCAGACGGGGAACGAGGGGCCAATAACTGAGTCCAGAATGAAATCTCTGCTGGAAACCTTAAATACATCCCTGCTGCACCAATTCAAAGAGGTAATAGCCTCGTGACGTGACAGAGCTGGGCGAGCGCACATCACATATAGAAAACAAAATGGCGGAACACGCAGAGGCCCATAACAGCATGGCAGACGCCATGCAAGAATTGGAACACAAACTCCAAGCCCATGAAGAAAAGCTAACTGATCTGGAAGACCGTTCCAGGAGGAACAATGTGCGCATAAGAGGCATTCCGGAAGAAATAGATGGCAAACAGCTGCTTCAATATACCACAACATTCTTTGCCAAGCTCATACCGGAGGTAGACCCAGACCTTCTGGTTATAGACCGCATACACAGAGTCGGGAGGCCGAAACACATCCCGATCTCATCGCCACGTGACGTGTTAATGAGGATCCATTATTTTCACGTTAAAGATCAAATTATGAAAGCCAGCCGCAAAAATCGCCCCTTGGCAGAATACAAAGCGCTTCAAATCTACGCAGACCTTTCCCCAGCCACTCTACTGCAACGCCGGAACCTAGCGCCCATCACGACCACTCTACGGGCGCAAAACGTGCCTTATCGCTGGGGATTCCCCACCAAGATCCAGGTGCTAAAAAATTGAACTATTCATTCGATCAAAACGGTGGAAGAGGGACGAAAACTCCTGAGAGACTGGGACATTCCTATCCAGGATCTGAAACACCCACCTGCACCCGGCCCTAGGCGGCTAAACCCAGAGTGGCAAAAGGCACCATGACCTGTACCGAAATTATCAGGACTTTGTATATCCAATGAAGGAGAAGGCACGAGGGTATCATATGGGTAAAGTAAATGTAACTGGTTGTTGTTGCACCTCTTGTTTGGGGTGCAGCGAACCCCCGGGGATATGGAGGTAGCTAGTTAGACAGCACAGGCCCCAGAGGGGGGGGGGAACAACTGTCGCGATACCATTTCCCGATGGAGGAAGCCCTAGTGCTCCATAGGTAAAACCAGTTTCCACAGAGTTTTAAGTTTTGAGTAAACAAAAAAAAAAAAAGCAACATACTAGATGAAAAGACGCTGAAGAAAGGGAATACAGCCAAGATGGGAGGTAGAAAAGAAGTAATCTTAATTGCAGTTACAAAGTTTAGCCGACACCGGTGGAAAATGGTTCGTACACTGGTAGAGGCTACCTTTACCATGACCCCTGACAGTTGCCTAGGCCCACAGGAAGACAACTCCAGACCCCTAGGGGTCAACTCTGCGCAAACTTTCTGACCCCACGGGCAGATACTTGATTCTAGTTTGTATGGTGAATGAAATAACATATACCATAACGAATGCCTACTTCCCAAACTCAAACCAAGCCCAATTCCTAGAAACACTGTGTAACAAGATAGATAAGATCAAACAAGGCGCCCTGATGTTGTGCGGGGACTTTAACTTTATCACAGAACCAGCCCTGGACTCATCAGCCAAGCTTACAAACACAAGATTAAGGGCTTTGCAGGGCTCCTGCAAAACTCTGAGATCCCATCTTCACTTCCATAACCTGCTCGATGTATGGCACACTCTACATGACCACAAGAAAGACTACACATTCCACTCAGCAGTCCACAACTCTTACACGAGACTCGACCGCTTTTACACTTCACCTTCCGACCTGATCCAAATAGTGAAATGTGTGATAGGACAAATAACATGGTCTGATCATGCACCAGTCTTTTTATACACCAAAGACGCCCACACACATACAGGGAAGGGGTTCTGGAGGCTCAACGAATCCCTACTCCATGATCTAGACTTTATTAAAAGCGTACGGACAGAACTGTCAGAATATTTCACTAGGAACGACAACGGGGAGACGTCCCTGGAAACGCTGTGGCTGGCCCACAAGGCGGTGATTAGGGGCATTTTTATAAAAAGGGCGACCCATCTAAAACGGAAAAGGGAATCCCAAATGACAGAATGGCTCCAAAAACTAGAAATACTGATGAGACAAAACAAACGCGAAACATCCGGTGATCTGGCAGTACAAATCAAGACACTAAAATCCCAGATCGATGAAGTCAACCTGTTGAAAACAAACTACCAGATACAGAAACTAAAAGCCAGGTTCTACCACCAGGGAAACAGGGCGGGCAAAGTGCTGGCCAACTTACTCAAACACAGACAAGCAAAACACCGCATCTCATCCATAAAAATAACCAACACGAAAACGGTACACAAACCCCAGGATATTAGTGAAGCATTTGCAGCATTCTATAAAGCCCTATATAACTTAGAATCAGACCAAACCGAAACACGACCATCAGGGGATCAGATCCAGAACTTCCTAGACAGGGTGTCCCTCCCAAGCTTGAACGCTGACCAAAAAGCATTTTTAAACGCACAAATATCGACTGACGAAATCCTTAAGATTATAGCGAGGTTGCCCCCACACAAAGCACCGGGACCAGATGGTCTAACATGCAAATACTATAAGGTCTCTGGAGACCTATTAGAACCATACATGACAAAGCTATTTAACTCCACTAACCAAGAAAAAGGCCTGCCGCCAGACATGTTACTAGCCAACATCATTACATTACCCAAGCCCGGGAAGCAACCCAATGAATGCAAAAATTTCAGACCCATATCGCTGCTTAACGTAGACGCAAAGATCTATGCCAAACTGTTAGCCAACAGACTATCCTCAATCATACCTACGCTAATAGGGAGAGATCAAGTGAGGTTTGTGGCCGGGCGCCAGGGGGCAGATAACTCCCGGAAGGTGGTGGATCTGGTGAGCCACATGAGAAGGGCCGGGACCGAGGGCTGGACGCAGAAAAAGAGTTTGACCGGCTGGGCTGGGGGTTCTTGGTCGCGGCCCTGGAAAGGTTTGGCATCTCACTGAATTTTATATCCCAAATAATGGCCCTATACAACGGACCAACAGCGGTGGTGTCCACGGGCGGCTATACATCTGCCAGATTCCAGGTGACAAACGGCACGAGACAAGGTTGCCCACTGTCGTCGATTCTGTATATATTGGCACTTGAACCGCTAGCGGAACTGATCAGATCCACACCCAACGTTCATGGCATTAATATAAGAGGCGGAGAACACAAGCTTAGCCTCTTTGCTGACGACGTCCTGATCACAATGACCCAGCCACGGACATCAGTTCCAGTAGTCCACAAAATCTTAATGGAGTACGGAGTTGTATCACATTATAAACTCAATGAATCAAAATCCCAGGCAATGGGAATAAATCTAACGGGGACAACTGCCCATAACCTTAGATCGCAGTATAGGTGCGAATGGTCAGAATCACACATAAAATTCTTAGGCTTGTGGCTATCACGTAACCCCCAGAACCTTTTTGGTGACAACTATGTGAGAGTCTGGAAAGAAATAGAGCAAACTATGAGGGAATGGAAAAACAAATACATATCGTGGGTAGGTAGGGCAGCTGCCTTCAAGATGATGCTGCTACCTAAATTACAATATCTCTTTCGCTTACTACCGATAGCAGTGCCAGTCTCCTTTTTTAAAAAAGCACAGAAGGAGCTAGCGAGATTTGTGTGGGCAGGCAAAAAACCCAGGGTGGCCATGAAACAATTACATAGAAGCTACGCTGAAGGAGGTATGGGAGTTCCTGACCTCCTCTTATACCACAGAGCGGCAGTGCTGGCACTACTGACACAGGCAAACATGACCCAGGACCGCCCACAGTGGGTCTCAATAGAGGAAAGCTTTTTAGACACACCAATGGCAACAATATGTTGGACACCCCAGGACCATAGGCCCAAAACACCTGACTTACTACCTATAACACGGCTTATGATACAGACATGGGACAAACACAAACACCTTTTAGTATGGACACAAACAATTCCTAAAGCTACCCCGATATCTGTTTTACCGCATAGAATCCCGGACCTTAGTGTGGCTGCATGGCAGCGTGCGGGGATCCACCACATATACAGCTTCTACGAAGGAGACAAAAGATTATCCTTCCAACAGCTAGCGACAAAATATGATTTACCTCAGACCATGCAATACGCATACCTCCAAATCGCACACTTTCTAGACTCTCAGAGGGAACATAGACGACAAGATGACCTGGGCAAAACCACGTCCCAATTTGAAAAGACGTGCGTAGGGATCACACCACTGCGGGGACAACTATCCACATGCTATCGGGCACTAAATCAGAGCCAACCCTTTGGTAAATGTAAATATGCAATGGAATGGACTAGGGACTGTGTGGAGACCATCTCAGACACACAATGGGCAGAGATCCTGGGGGCCCTGAAAGGAGTCACAAAATGCGCAGCACATATAGAATTACACAGAAAATTTTTACTGAGGTGGTATATGGTCCCAGCCAGACTGGCGCACACTTTTCAGGGTAGCTCTCCTACATGTTGGAGATGTGAGAAGCAAAAGGGCACGATGATCCACATGTGGTGGACATGCCCAATCCTTCAGCCATTGTGGTCTGGGATACACGATATAGTGGGAAACGTTGCGAAAACTGCCATCCCTAAAAAAAAACTAAATTTACTGCTGCTGCACATACCCTCTCAAATAGCATGGGACAACAAAGTGATAATAATCCACATCCTCCTAGCCACTCTCTACCTTATCGCGAGACACTGGAAACAGACAAGACCCCCCTCGATCGCAGAGGTACTTGCAACAGTGGAGAGAAACAAGACATATGAACTATCATATGCAGAATCTGAGGGAATGAAAAAACAAAAATCGCTCACCTGGCTTGGGTGGGATCAGTTTAGAGAGGGATTTAGAGAAGGAGAAAACAGGCAACCTTGAAGGAAAGCCCTCTATGAGATACCGTTGAAATGACCTTACGAGTACAAAGCAAACAGAACTGAATTAGTTATAAGGAAACCCAAAGCCTCAGTTAAGACACTCATGACATCAGCTTAGATATCACACAAAGTAGAGAGTAACCCCCAATCCACTCCCTACCCCCCACTACCCCTCTTCTCATGGAGGGGGTTCTCGTAGATAAGTTTTAAATCTACAGTTTTTAGACGACTCCTAAACAATCACGAGGGAGAAGACGAGGAGGGGCGACGCCAGTACATCTTACCCATAGCATTCTGTGACCATGTATGTAATAGCAATGTATATTATAACCAATTGAATTGTAACCGAGTATCACTTTGTAAAGACAATTGTGAAATATCAACGTTTCTAATTCCAATGCACAAAGACATTATATCCCCGAGCCCCCTTTCTCTTCTGTATCCCCCCGTGACGTTTTATTATCAGTGAAAATAAAAATTGTCAAATTTAAAAAAAAGAAATGTAAGAAAATATTAAATCCATGCAGGGTAAAATAGCGGTGGATTGGCGCTTTAGTGTATAAGAGTAAATGCAGCTACCCCCAGTGTAATGATAATACCCAATACGCAATGTGAAAATCACCAGAACAATAAAGACAGAAAGCCCCTATACCAGTCCTTAGAATGGCCGGACTAAAAGGAATTAAGAAAGCCAGGAACAAGCCGATGTCAAAGGAATACAGAAGTACACTAAATCGAGGAACGAGCCGAGTCAGGGAAACCAGAAATAAGAGTAGTCAAAGGCAAGCTGGGTCAATACACAAATAATAGCCAAAAGAATACAGGAACGCGCTGAGGAGAAACTAGGAACAGGGCACTGATTTGGAGGCAAACTGGGCTTTTTGTAAGCCCAAACTGGGCTTTTTTAAAAGAAAATGTTCTGCATGGACAAGAATAGGAGCTGAAGCAAATGCGGCCTTCAGGGTATCAAAGGCCAAAAGTGCTTCCTGAGTCCATAATTGAAATTACCGTTTCTTGTCATATTGGTAATAGGAGATATAATGGAGGAAAACCCCTTTATAAATCTCCTATAATAGTTGGAAAACCCAATGAAACGTTGAATGGCTTTCAACCCTGTGGGTAAGGGCCATTTACGAATAGCATCGAGTTTTTTTAGGGCCCATTTCGAAACCAGAGTCGGAGATGACATAACCTAGAAATGTACTTTTACCTGATCAAACAAACATTTCTCTAATTTGCAATATAAGCCATTGTTCAATAGTTTATGTAACACTTTTCTCACATGTATTGTGATGGGTAATAACATCTGGGGAATAGATCAGTATATCATCAAGGTAAACAATAACAAATTCCTGCAAATATTCCCTCAATACATCGTTTATAAGTTCTTGAAAAACAGCAGGAGCATTACAAAGTCCGAAAGGCATGACTGTATATTCATAATGTCCAAACCTAGAATTAAAAGCCATTTTACATTCATGTCTTTTTTTTAATCCTCACCAAATTATAAGCACCTCGTAAATCCAATTTGGTGAAGACCCTGGAACCTTTTAACCCGTCAAAATATTCCGTGATCAGAGGAATGGGATAGACGTTACGGATGGTGATCTTATTCAAACCTCTGTAGTTTATACATGGGCTGAGGTCACCTTCCTTCTTAGAAACAAAAAAGAACCCAGCCCCAGAAGAATATATTTCCTGAATATATTCTTCCAAAACCTAATTTTCTTTGAGAGAGAGAGGGTAAACAGTACCCCTAGGTGGCATAGTTCCTGGCAACAATTCAATAGGACAGTCATATGACTGATGTGGGGGTAGCTTATCTGCCTTATTTTTATCAAATACTTCCTTTAAGTCTAGATATACCTGAGGTATAGCAGTGGACAATGGAGGTGTGGTAGGCACATTTATGAGACCCAAGGATTTAGTTCCAACGATACATCCCTCAGAACAAGATGAACTCCTGATTCCCAATCAATCTGTGGATTATGTTTAAATAACCATGGATACCCCAGTACTACAGGAAAGGAAGGAAGGAGAAGAGATAACCTGTAAAACAAGAATTTCCTCATGAAGAGCCCCAGCCTTCATAAGGATTAGAATAGATTCCTTAGTAATGGAGGGCTCCTCAAGAGGTCTACCATCTATGGCTTCAACGGCCAAGGGAGTTGCTTTTTCTCGGAGGAATAGCGAATCTCTCTGCAAAGCTCTTATCTAAAAAGTTCTCAGCAGCCCCAGAGTCTATAAGGGCATGAGAGTGGACAGCCTTCCCCTCCCACTTTAAGGTGATAGATAGAAGTAGCCTTTTTTCATGAGTTCTTATGGAGGACCTATTATGGACCAGTCCATGGGGCCTTAGGCTCTGAAGTTTTCTGGCCTTTCTGGACAAGCTAAACGAAGATGTTCCCTTTTTCCACAGTACATACACAACCCCCTCCTTCTATGTTGTCGTTCCTCTTCGGTTAACCTTGTCATGCCTAACTGCATAGGTTCTGGGATAGCGACTGTCATGGACTCAGAGTGAAAATTGGGAATTGATCTGATAGCTAGTCTTCTGGGCCTTTCTCTGGTATTTAAGCCTGTGTCTAAGTATTTTGTCAATGTGACCTAAATAAGTAATAAGATCTTATAAATTCTCGGGTAAATGCCTAGTGGCTGCCTCAACCAAACTAGCATCGGATAGACCATTAAGAAATACATCCACAAATGCCTGGTTGTTCCAACGGACCTCTGATGCCAGGGAACGAAATTCCAATGCATAGTCCACAAGGGAACGGTTTCTCTGTTTTAGTCTCAGAAGGGCTCTGGCAGCATTGGCTTTTGTGTCTGGAGGGTCAAAAGCTCTCCTGAATGCTGCAAGAAACTGAGAGTAATGATAAACTAAAGGACTGTTGTTCTCCCAGAGTGGATTTGCCCAAATAAGAGTTCTATCCGTTAGCAGGGTTATGATGAAACCTATTTGGGCCCTGTCAGTAGGGTAGGCTTTGGGACATAGTTCAAATAAAATGCTGACCTGGTTAAGGATCCCTATACATTTTGAAGGATCCCCATTATAGCGTATGAGTTGATTAGGATTGTTATTATGGCTGAGAGTAGAAGATTCTGCACCAGTAGGTACATGACTAAGAGGTTGAGCTGGCCTGGGAGATTTGATCCATACGATGATCCATTCCATCCAGTCTAGCGTCCTGGGGATTGACACATGCAGGATTCATTGGCCCTGTTGTAATGTAATGATAATACCCAATACACAGTGTGAAAATCACCAGAACAATAAAAACAGATAGAAAGCCCCTATATCGGTCCTTAGAATGGCCGGACTAAAAGGAACTAAGAAAGCCAGGAACAAGCCGAGGTCAAAGGAATACAGAAGTACACTAAATCGAGGAACGAGCTGAGTCAGGGAAACCAGAAATAAAAGTAGTCAAAGGCAAGCCGGGTCAATACACAAATAATAGCCAAAAGAATACAGGAACGTGCTGAGGAGAAACTAGGAACCACAACAGGGCACTGATTTGGAGGCAAACTGGGCTTTTATATGATTGGGGACGTGATTATCATAACCACGCCCCCAAAAGGTACGTGTGTGAGCGCTTTTGCTTAGAGATCCTCTGAGTACACTGCCTCTTTAAAAAGGGCGGGCGCATAGCGGCCGGCGGCCCTGATGCTTAATGCATCTATTCTCTGCGTGGGAGCAGCGGTCCAACCGATCCTGATGTCGGCGGATTTGGGGACCGGCATGGTAAGTGATTTGCGGCTTACACGCAGTGCCTAAAATCACTCAAAACGGCACTTAAGTGTTTTTAAAAAGAAGTAATAGATAATGGGGGGTGCAAAATTATACATCTAAGCCAGAGCCTTCTTGTTGTGGCTCTGGAGAGTGTGAGTGACGCATTACCTCTGTAATAGATCTATAAATGTGTAAATAACAGTATTATTACTGTTAGTACTCCTTACATTAGTAAGCATACATTTAATATTATCATGAGTCATTTGTACTTTTTTTGAATTTTAATAAATATTACATACCTCTGTTTTGAGTATTCCCCTGCCCACATCTCCACCACCCTTACACTGAGCTAAAGCCCATCTACTTTCTATCCTATCTCCATTTTCTAGATTGCTTTGACCCTTCCCCCCACTACTAGTTTAAAATCTCCTCCAACCTTCTAGCCATCCTATCCCTTCTTCCGCTTAGGTGCAATCCATCATGACTATGACCCAAGCGCAAAATCGGCCCAGTGCTCTAAAAACCCAAGACCCTCTTTTCTGCACCAAGACTTCAGCCACGCATTGACCTCTCTAATCTCCCGCTGCCTTTCTGCTGTAGCGCGCGGCACAGGTAATATTTTCTTTAGCTTACTTCCTAGTTCCCTGAACTC